AAAATACAACTTGCCTAATAATTCTGCACTCCCTGTAATAGAGCTCTGACTTTGTGTCAGTCTCAGGATCTGAACTGTCACATCTTTTCAGATCTTTTAGACCTATTTTATAACTACAAGACTTTTATTCTCTGTAGCTGTTTTATAAGGTTTAGGCAAGAAATTCTGACTTTAATTTTCATGGTTTGATTAGGTTTGAACAACACAACTATTTGGCACCTAAAGTACACAATGGCTGCACAGTGGAACTGCAGTTAACATTGGTAAAATTACTGCAAGTTGGTTTCTTGTTCAGACCACACATGGCCTCTGTGTGGAGGTTGTACGTAATAGGTTTCCTTTAGCCATTCTAGTTTCCTCCCACAGTCCATAGACATGCATGTTAGATGACCGGTGATTCTAACTTGCTCATGGAATTGCAGCCGTGTCTCCCAGCTGTTTCCTCTTCGCTCCGTTCACCTCTTGTATTTAGTGTCTGTGTCTTCCCCTACTCGGTGTCGCGTCGTTAACGTCTGTTCACCCTCGCTTCCTCTGTGTGTTCCGTTTGCCAGCCAGCCTTCCTGCCTAGTTATTCTGTTCTTCCAGTTTACTTAGTGTTTTTCTGTTCTGTTTCTTACCAGCAATAAAGCTGTGTGTTTTGAGTTACTTCTGCCTCAGTGAGTCCTGCATTTTGGGTCCTCTCTTTCTGCCTGCCTACACACAGACATGACAGTTTCTCTCACTGAACACTACGTCCATGGTGAACAGAATCAGTTTTGGGGATTTCCTTACCTGGATGATTGAGCATGCATCAAGACATAATTTTAGAGATAATATGCAAAATGGAAGAAAGCAGTTCTACATATTTGTTTAATATGTGCATTGAAGGACTTATCCTAGTCAAAAATGACTCCACAGTGTTACTGGAGACCAAGGTAATGCCATTCAGAGTAAGAATCTGGTTAGATACCATATTTCTAAGATTTTCAGGGCCGAGTACAATAACCTCAGTTTTATCTGAATTAAGAAGCAGAAAGTTAGCGGCCATCCAGGTCTTTATGTCTTTAAGACATTCCTGCAGTTTAACTAATTGGTGTGTGTTATCTGGCTTCATGGACAGATAGAGTTGTCGTCTGCATAGCAGTGAAAATGTATCTATGTCTTATGATACTGCCTAAGGCAGTGGTTCCCAAACTTAACTTAAAATACTGTATAAAACACCTTGAGGCGACTGTTGTTGTGATATGGTGAGTATAAATAAAATTGAATTGAACTGAGTATTTTTTTTCCTCTTCAATGGTTAAAATTTTATTTGTGAAGAAATTCATGAAGTAAATATTAGTTAAGGTTAAACAAATGCTTATCTTACAGGGAGTGCAGAATTATTAGGCAAATGAGTATTTTGTCCACATCATCCTCTTCATGCATGTTGTCTTACTCCAAGCTGTATAGGCTCGAAAGCCTACTACCAATTAAGCATATTAGGTGATGTGCATCTCTGTAATGAGAAGGGGTGTGGTCTAATGACATCAACACCCTATATCAGGTGTGCATAATTATTAGGCAACGTCCTTTCCTTTGGCAAAATGGGTCAAAAGAAGGACTTGACAGGCTCAGAAAAGTCAAAAATAGTGAGATATCTTGCAGAGGGATGCAGCAGTCTCAAAATTGCAAAGCTTCTGAAGCGTGATCATCGAACAATCAAGCGTTTCATTCAAAATAGTCAACAGGGTCGCAAGAAGCGTGTGGAAAAACCAAGGCGCAAAATAACTGCCCATGAACTGAGAAAAGTCAAGCGTGCAGCTGCCAAGATGCCACTTGCCACCAGTTTGGCCATATTTCAGAGCTGCAACATCACTGGAGTGCCCAAAAGCACAAGGTGTGCAATACTCAGAGACATGGCCAAGGTAAGAAAGGCTGAAAGACGACCACCACTGAACAAGACACACAAGCTGAAACGTCAAGACTGGGCCAAGAAATATCTCAAGACTGGTTTTTCTAAGGTTTTATGGACTGATGAAATGAGAGTGAGTCTTGATGGGCCAGATGGATGGGCCCGTGGCTGGATTGGTAAAGGGCAGAGAGCTCCAGTCCGACTCAGACGCCAGCAAGGTGGAGGTGGAGTACTGGTTTGGGCTGGTATCATCAAAGATGAGCTTGTGGGGCCTTTTCGGGTTGAGGATGGAGTCAAGCTCAACTCCCAGTCCTACTGCCAGTTTCTGGAAGACACCTTCTTCAAGCAGTGGTACAGGAAGAAGTCTGCATCCTTCAAGAAAAACATGATTTTCATGCAGGACAATGCTCCATCACACGCGTCCAAGTACTCCACAGCGTGGCTGGCAAGAAAGGGTATAAAAGAAGAAAAACTAATGACATGGCCTCCTTGTTCACCTGATCTGAACCCCATTGAGAACCTGTGGTCCATCATCAAATGTGAGATTTACAAGGAGGGAAAACAGTACACCTCTCTGAACAGTGTCTGGGAGGCTGTGGTTGCTGCTGCACGCAATGTTGATGGTGAACAGATCAAAACACTGACAGAATCCATGGATGGCAGGCTTTTGAGTGTCCTTGCAAAGAAAGGTGGCTATATTGGTCGCTGATTTGTTTTTGTTTTGTTTTTGAATGTCAGAAATGTATATTTGTGAATGTGGAGATGTTATATTGGTTTCACTGGTAAAAATAAATAATTGAAATGGGTATATATTTGTTTTTTGTTAAGTTGCCTAATAATTATGCACAGTAATAGTCACCTGCACACACAGATATCCCCCTAAAATAGCTAAAACTAAAAACAAACTAAAAACTACTTCCAAAAACATTCAGCTTTGATATTAATGAGTTTTTTGGGTTCATTGAGAACATGGTTGTTGTTCAATAATAAAATTATTCCTCAAAAATACAACTTGCCTAATAATTCTGCACTCCCTGTAATAGAGCTCTGACTTTGTGTCAGTCTCAGGATCTGAACTGTCACATCTTTTCAGATCTTTTAGACCTATTTTATAACTACAAGACTTTTATTCTCTGTAGCTGTTTTATAAGGTTTAGGCAAGAAATTCTGACTTTAATTTTCATGGTTTGATTAGGTTTGAACAACACAACTATTTGGCACCTAAAGTACACAATGGCTGCACAGTGGAACTGCAGTTAACATTGGTAAAATTACTGCAAGTTGGTTTCTTGTTCAGACCACACATGGCCTCTGTGTGGAGGTTGTACGTAATAGGTTTCCTTTAGCCATTCTAGTTTCCTCCCACAGTCCATAGACATGCATGTTAGATGACCGGTGATTCTAAATTGCACATGGAATTGTAAAATGTTTCAAATGTACATGTACAGAATAAAAGCAAAACAGCAATAGATTTGTATTAAAAGTTAGAGCTGGTTAGTTAAAATGTTACTTCCATTTAGTTTTACTGGATCTCAGTGCAGCATTTGATACAGTTGACCACAACATATTACTCAAACGACTGGAGAACTGGGCAGGTCTTTCAGGAACTGTACTAAACTGGTTCAAAACATACTTAGAAAACAGGAAATACTTTGTATCAATAGGTAACTTCACATCTGAGCAGACAAGTATCACATGTGGAGTTCCCCAAGGTTCCATCTTGGGACCCCTTCTGTTTAACATTTACATGCTCCCACTGGCACAGATTATAAAGAACAACAAAATAAACTATCCACAGCTATGCAGATGACACACAAATATATATCACAATGTCACCAGGAGACCGAGGCCCTGTACAGGCTCTTGGTAAATGCATTGAGGAAATTAATGACTGGTTGTGCCACAATTTTCTCCAGCTAAACAAAAACAAAACTGAGGTAATAGTCTTTGGCGCCAAAGAAAAACGATTACAGGTCACCAGAGAACTTCAATCTATACATCTAAAAACCACAAACCAGGCGAGAAATTTGGGTGTAGTGATGGATGCAGACCTAAACTTAGAAAAACACATTAAGACAATAACAAAGTCAGCTTACTATCACCTCAAGAATATTTCAAGGATAAAAGATCTGATGTCTCAACAGGACCTGGAAAAACTAGTCCATGCATTCATCTTTAGTAGGCTTGATTACTGTAACAGCATCTTTACAGGTCTACCTAAAAAATCAGTCAGACAACTACAGCTCATTCAGAACTCTGCTGCTCGAGTCCTCACTAAGACCAAAAAAGTGGACCACATCAGTCCAGCTCTGAGGTCTTTACACTGGCTGCCTGTCCGTCAGAGGATAGACTTTAAAGTTCTGATGCTGGTCTATAAAGCTCTGAATGGTTTAGGACCAAAATACATCAGTGACCTCCTGACCCAGTATGAACCTTCCAGATCCCTCAGGTCATCTGGATCTGGTCTTTTATCAGTTCCCAGAGTCAGAACCAGACACGGAGAAGCTGCATTCAGCTTTTATGCTCCTTATATCTGGAACAAACTCCCAGAAAGCCTCAGATCAGCTGAAACACTCAGTTTATTTAAATCCAGGTTGAAGACTCACCTGTTCTCAGCTGCATTTGAATAAAGCACCAAATCCACACTTTTAAGCTTAAATTTCAAAACTTACATTTAACTACTGATTTTATCTACTGTTCTGATTTTATCTGTTTTGATTTTATATACTGTTTTGTTTGTTTGTTAATTAGTTTGTTTGTTTGCTTGTTTTAATCAATTTTAAATCATGCTTTTTATTTGTTTTTGTTTCTAATGTCTCTGTAAAGCACTTTGAATAACCTTGTTGTTGAATTGTGCTATACAAATAAACTTGCCTTGCCTTGCCTTGCCATTCAATCTGCAAAAAGCTTTTTCATCCACTGTTACTATGGTGACAACTCCCACCCCCGGTGGTGATATCAGACTTTGTCTCAAATTTTTCAGGGCTTGGTTGGATCATTTTTATTTAGCAATGTGACTCCTATTCTTTTATTGTTTTAAGAAAAGTTATTTTCTTCAAGAACTTTTGGAAAGAGATTTTTCTGGTTATATTGCAAGACTGACACTGAAGGTGACAAACACCTTGTTCATCAGCAAATATAGCAAAAACAGTAAATAGGTTCATGGTAAAATATATCACCCCCTCCCCTTTTGTCATCTGTTTGCCCATCTAGATTGAATAGATGCCCTTTCCATCTATACATAGCAAAGTAATATATTATTTATTTACAGCAGAACTATATCTATTGGTGACCCAGCCCTCTGCATCTGACAAGTTTTACCTTGAGAAGATAAAGTTAGAAGAATAATCATTCAGAGAAACTAGTGGAACAGAGAAAGGGGAAGTGACAGAGAGAAGCATAGCATGTAGGGGAGGTGGGGGGTGGGTACTGCGGCGTTAGATCACACTGTCGAGATGCAATGACACAGCTCACTGATGCTGCTGTAGTTTTACATAGGAATTGCTCTCTGGTGCAAGAAAACTGCAAGTGTAGCAAAAACTCATACATCACAGGTACAAAATGTACAGCGTCACAAGGACAGGACAATACTAAAGCCTTTTGGTATAATATGATTTACAACTATCTGTTATGTTCTCTCTTCTCTTTTTCTGTCTCGACTATGCGCATGCAATCTGCCCTACAACTGCAGCCACAGAAAACAGTCAGAGATATTCAGCATTCCTTTGATTCTTACCTTTCTTTAGTTGGGCCATTGATTCTGCTGCATTACTGAGATTCAGCGGTTAGTCAGGGTGATGCTGCTCTGGCTAGAGCTAGGCTACATCCTCTCTCCCTCTCCTTCTCTGCTGCACTCTCTGGTGCATGTTCCTTTATCTGCACTGCTCTTGTCGTCTATTCCAAGTTCCTGTCTGTCTGGCTAGAGGAAGTAGCACAGTAATGTCACTGATTAACAGCTCATGAGTAGGGAATTTTATACATATTACATTACTTGTGTGCTAATTGCTTATTTATTTATTCCCTTTTTTAAAACATATTTAACAAATGGAGAAGAAAAGAGGAAGCAAGAAGTCTAAAATCTATCTACAACAGATTAACAGTATTTGAAAGTTATATCCCTAAAAACAGAAAGAAAACCCAGCAAAGACCTGACACAGCACCTGAGAGATGCATCTGGACAGTCAGATGGGAGCGTGGTTGTCAAGAAATTATTTTTAAGGAAAGACATAGGGTGAAAAGGTTAAGGTAAACACAACAACAAAAAAAAACTTTGTCAAAATGTTTGATGCCGTGATGAATCCAAATGTGAAAATTTTGGTTCAGATTGTTGGCAATATATATGGATTATGAATGGAGGAGGTTGTCAGCAAGGAACAACAGTCACTGTCTACAGCCAAAACGTTTTGGATGCTTGGTTTGGGTCCTGCATTTCTGCCTATGCTTATATAAAAGAGGGATGGCCTGGCTCCACTTCCTCCCTCTGTACTAATGTGAAGAAAACTGCCATCTTGCATTTTTACTGCCACAGTATGTGTACTAGTGATTTGGGGTGGAGTTGCTGCAACAAACCCCGCCCACATATCTGACCACAAACACACCGCTTGCACTTCTTATGCAGAGATGGGCAGTAACGCGTAAGCAGATTACTTTTTTCAAGTAACGAGTAAAGTAAGGGATTACTATTGCAAAAACGGTAATTAGATTACCGTTACTTTCCCGTAGGAACGCTGCGTTACTGCGTTACTAAAACCGTGATTTTTTTTGCGAGAATGTCTCATGACAGTGACGTAAGCGAGTGCGACGTTCGTGACAACAGCTGTGTGCAGATCAACAATGGATCATATATCGAGTGCGGGAGAGAGTATGAGCGTGCAGCGTTTAAAGCGTGGAAGTACTGACCTTACTTTGTTTGATTCCATAAAAAGTGACAAAAACATTAGCGTCCGTTGTGCGTGGGAAGAAAACTTCTTTTTACAGCGAAAAAAAACCCTAAACTTCCAAGCAAGCACCAAGTGCGCTACGACGTAATGGGAAATTCAGAGAAACTCGGGGATCCTTCCACTGACCGCTGCAGCACACCTGCACCAGCAGTGGCGGTCCTAGCCTGTTTGGCGCCCCGGGCGAACACTCCCTCTGGTGCCGCCCCTCCCACACACACACACATACATAAAACATATTAAGGATTGTACATGAACATAAAACTGTTGTCGGAACCATACTGAATTTCACCAGAGAAACACACACACATATGAAGAGAGAGAGAGTATGCATAGTATGCAAACGGCTACCAAACAGCCATCATAATTCGTCATACAATGAGAACAGGACAAATCAACAATTGACAATGACTAATTAATATTAAAATCTGTAACATAATGTATTGTTTGGAGTTTAGTCTGTTACTATTTTTACCATTTCTTTTTGGAGCAACTGTAACCACATAATTTCCTTAGGGATTAATAAAGTATTCTGATTCTGATTGTTTCAGGATGACCTGCCATTATCCAATGACACATCTGCTTACCTGCATCTTTTGCTCGTTTCTCCTCCTCTTCTTTTCTCTTTTTTCTAAACTGAGCACAGGTCTGTGAGAGCCAGAGATTTTCCTTGTTTGAGGTGACCAAATACTTATTTTCCACCCTGATTTACGAATAAATTCTTTACAAATCCTACCATGTGGATTCATGGATTTTTTTTTCACATTCTGTCTCTCACAGTTGAAGTGTACCTCTGGTGCAAATTACTGACCTCTGTCATCATTTTAAGTGGGGGAACTTGCACAATCGGTGGCTGACTAAATACTTTTTTGCCCCACTGTAAGCCCTCAGTTTTCCTTCATTTTTTGTCATGTTGTCCGATTACGTTATCCATATCCATGCTCCTTTGCCAGTGAGTCTTTTCCTGATATCTTTAGTTATTTCGTTTTTTCCAGCAATACAGCTGCATTTTGAGTCTAATGTCTGTGTGCCAAGTATTGTATTTTGGTCCTACACTGCCCACCACACAGCCTGCCCCATGACTAGAGAGACCAGGAAACTCACGGTGAGCATGGATTAGAGAGGAAGTGTCAGAAGCTGAAGATGGCATGGAATATAATCCATGCAACCGAGACCAAGAAAAAACTGATGAGGACAAATTCAGTGAGGAAGAGGATCGCCATGACGACTGTTGTCATCTGTTGTCATGTCAACAGTCAAAGAATGGGAACTTATCCCCACCTGAGAATCAACTTGGGCTTTCAGCTGAAACCCTAATTTGAAAATAATGGTAAACTATAGTGGTAAGCATGGAGGTAAGACAGAAAGACATCAAAGCATACATGAGGGTTTTTTTTTTCATTTTCAGTGGAGATCCGAGAATGAATCTACCAACAGTTTATGGATGTAGAGTTCAGTCGGACAATTTTTTGGGCCACCATGTTACTCTATAAATTTTACATGTTGACAGGTTTGTGGAGCGCCAGCCACTCATCTATATGCTATCTTTCAGGCAGCCATAGATGGTGTTCCTGAAAAGAGGTCATTTTAGTATAATGTTGGAATCATTTGGTCCATACACAGCTAAAATATTCCTGGTCACTTTGACAGCTGTGATAAACAGTATACTATGTTTGATCTGGTTATCATAGTCAAAATAGAAATGATGTGTTTCGACTCAAATATAAGGCATATAAAGTCATATTAATGAGACATACATACATCATAAATAACAGAAGTTCAAAAACTTTAGTTGATAAAACAATCTAACATGACAAGAAAGGAAATATATCTATTATTATAGCTTTTATGATGAGTCGTAATGAAACAGTCATTTTTAACTGTGAACACAAAATAGTTTAACATAAAACGAACACAAGGGTTAATTAAAGTAGTACTGCACATAATTAGAAAGATTCAGTTGTCCCTTATTCTCCCAGCAGGGCATCCAACAGCCATCAGAGGGTAGGTGTTGTGATGGAAAGTTTCTAGTTCATTCTTATATGTATTAGTAGGTGCTTGGAACTTTTTGTATTTCTTAGGTGAGTCTGTGTGTCAATATGACCTGGTGTAACTATGCTTAACTACGTTTCACTATGTTATCTGCTGACTGTTAGGGCATAGAAGGATGAAATTCCCAGGGAAACCATATTCCAGGTGCTTCCTGGAATATGGATAGCAGGAGTTGCTCCCTGCCCAGCGAGGGTTGAGACAAGAAGCTGTTGTAACTGTAGTGATGCACCAGGAGTTGTGTGTGAAGGTATAAAAGAGGCGGCGCGACGTCTCAAGGGCAGAGCTATCCTGACTGCATAACTGTGATGTTTGCAGTCTGTTTTCTCTCTTGCATCCTGTAATTAAAAAGCTTTGGCCACAGCTGACCGCGTTGCAGACTTTAGTAACAGGAAATTCCAAGACAGTGTTCATTTCCCAGATCTTGTTCTTCAGATTTACCTGACTGTTTAGGACTATCCTCAATGTTTGCAATGTTGCCTTCTGCTAGTGCAGTCCCCTCAGTTGTGACTACCTTTCCTCTCTTTGTTACCATCCAAATACACTTCTCCAATCTGAATGACATTCCAGTGTCATTGTTGTAGATCCTAGTCATGTCAGTCAATATATATCTCATTCACTCGTGGCATAATGCTTGATGTCATCCGTTCTGCAGTTGGTAACCACAGCCAGTTTTGTTAATGCTTCTAATCTGGGCTCAATCAGGTGATTATATATGCTGCAGTAGATCAAGGTTGCTGGGGGATTCCCAGGGAATGGACTACTTCTTCTTCACTCACCTTTTTTTTTTTTTTTTCACACTGTGTGTATACACTACTGTTCATTTAATCAGTTATTTTTAATCTCTGGCTGTTTTCCACAGTGGTTTTTTGTCCCATCTCCCCTGCCCTCATTTCTAGCTGATCGCAGCAGATGACTGGCCTCCACTGAGCCTGGTTTTGCCAGTTTTCCTTCTAAGGCTACGTTCACACTGCAGGTCTTAATGCTCAATTCCGATTTTTTGATCAAATCCGATTTTTTTGTCTCCTCGTTCACACTACAAATAAAATGCGACAGCAAACGCGCTCTAGTGTGAACGCTCAAAGCGGCCCGCATGCGCAAAAGAAGACGTCACACACAACGCGCTCTGTTTAGACCCAGAGCAAACAGTATTGTTTGACTGATGGCCCTTAATATAAAGACTTCGGACTTTACGTTTCCCAATTTTTGCTTTAAGTTATTTTGTTATTTACATAATAATGTAGATAACCTAATAATTATCCTTATTGCTGTTTTAGAGGAGCGGTGCTTCAAAGGATAGTTGCAGATTTCTGTCAGAATCTGCAGATTATACAGTACAAATAAAATGTTCACGTTGTCTTCCCAACAGTTTCACTGACATCTACACTGGATGGCCAGGAAGCGTTCACGATGTCTTCTCCGGCTGATAATTGGCGTCTGTCTTGTGTCAGTGACGTAAAAGACGGATTTAATGCGACCTGACCATTCAAACAGCAGTCACTTTCTAAAACATCGGATATGTATTGGATTCAGTACCAGATACGAAAGTGACCCAGATCGGATTTGAAAATATCGGATTTGTGCCGTTCACACTGTCATGATCGGATATGGGTCGCAAATAGGATTTGATGCGCTTTCGCCTGCAGTGTGAATGTAGCCTAAAAGGAAGCTTTTAACATAAAGCTTGTCACCAAGTGCTTGCTCATAGGAGGTCATCTGATTGCTGGGGTTTTCTCTGCAATATTGTAGGGTCTTTACCTTACAATATAAAGCACCTTGAGGCGGCTGTTGTTGTATTTGGCATTATATAAATAAAAATTGCATTGAAACATTTTCTGTACATCGTTTTTCAACACTTGAAACAACTTTCTCCCAGATGGTTCTTTATTTGCTTGAAAGTGGAAGCAGCATGATAAACATACAACTCACTAGATGATAATCCATGCACCCTTACACTGACAGTGAAGATGAAATCCAGATTGCAGTCTACCCTCGGGGTACATGCTCACACTGACATAGCTTGACTCAGTCTACATGTTATTAAATTCAATTTCCACACAAAGTATAGTCTTCATTGAATGATAATATACTAGACCAGGCTGTGACAGCTTTAGACTCCTTACACAAATAGCCAGTGGGGTATTGATTGTTCTACAATAAATATCGAATAATATGATACTGAGGATATTTATGTTGTGTTTAAAATAAGAATGGACAACAAAACTAAATCTAAACTGACCATCCATTTCCTCTGGGTTTGAGTCAAAATGTGTGTGGGGCGCAAAAGATGGTTTGTGTATACTGTACATTTGTACACCTGCATGTCTGTGTGTGATGTCTATCGATATAGGTAATCAGCTTGTATGTTGGCAGCAATCTCTGCTTCCCACTTGTCTCCATTGTTGAGGAGCTTTTCCTTATTGTAGAGCAGTTCTTCATGAGTTTCAGTAGAAAATTCAAAGTTAGGACCCTGAAAAAAAAAGGAAAAATGGATTACAACAGGTCTGCAAACACAAGGAGAGGAACAGAAGAAAATAACAGAAACAAAACGTGGAGAAAAGAGACAGCAAAGAATAAGAATAATAAAAGCACAAACAAAAAGATAAAGATCTTTGCAATAAAAATTACTGCCAACTTTTATTATGACTCTGCCCGTATTTCAGCCCTTTTCACAAAGTGTAACTAATTAAATATTCTTTTTTGGGGGGGACTTTAGTCGATAGACAGTGATGAGAGGAGAGGAAAGCAGGGGTAGAGAGAAGGGAAGACCTGGGCCGGCCGCTCCCAGAATATATTTCTAAAGGTGATACTGACATGAAATACTCATTAGAAATCAGTAACAACCCATCCAATCTACAAACGCAAAAAACTCAAACCACAGATGTTCATATATTACGTGTAATAATGAAAAAAGTATTAAACATGCTTTACTGAAATTTGTTTTAACACTTTGTGCAAAAGCCTTTGTTGGTAAAACAGCTTCAAGGCTCCTTCTGTATGGAGAAACTAGTCGCAGGCATTGCAAAGGTGATTTCGGCCCATTTTTTTATATCCTGACGGTTCTGTGGGCCCATTCTATGAACTCTTCTTTCCATAGACTTTCAGTTTGATTTAGGTCATGTGATTGGCTGGGCCATTCGATTCAATTCAATTTTATTTATATAGTGCCAAATCACAACAACAGTCGCCTCAAGGCGCTTTATATTGCACAGTAGATCGTACAATAATAGATACAGAGAAAAACCCAACAATCATATGACCCCCTATTAGCAAGTACTTTGGCGACAGTGAGAAGGAAAAACTCCCTTTTAACAGGAAGAAACGTCCAGAACCAGGCTCAGGGAGGGGCGGGGCCATCTGCTGCGACCGGTTGGGGTGAGAGAAGGAAAACAGGATAAATACATGCTGTGGAAAAGAGACAGAGATTAATAACAAGTGTGATTGAGTGCAGAGAGGTCTGTTAACACATAGTGAGCGAGAAAGGTGACTGGAAATGAAAAACTCAATGCATCATGGGAATCCCCAGCAGCCTACGTCTATTGCAGCATAACTAAGGGAGGATTCAGGGTCACCTGGTCCAGCCCTAACTATATGCTTTAGCAAAAAGGAAAGTTTGAAGCCTAATCTTGAAAGTAGAGATAGTGTCTGTCTCCTGAATCCAAACTGGAAGCTGGTTCCACAGAAGAGGGGCCTGAAAACTGAAGGCTCTGCCTCCCATTCTACTTTTAAGTACTCTAGGAACAACAAGTAGGCCTGCAGAGCGAGAGCGAAGTGCTCTAATAGGGTGATATGGTACTACAAGGACATTAAAATAAGATGGGGCCTGATTATTTAAGACCTTGTATGTGAGGAGCAGGATTTGGAATTAACTTCTGGATTTAACAGGAAGCCAATGAAGGGAAGCCAAAACAGGAGAAATATGCTCTCTTTCTAGCAGCTTTATTTTCTTCCTGTGCAACTGGCTCGGCTGTGTGTTTGGGATCATTGTCCTGCTATAGCTTCCACCCTACGTTCATCTTCATCATTCTGGTAAATAGCAGCAGATCTTTATCAAGAATGCCTCTGTACATTTTTCCATTAATTGCATTCATTCAGTACTGTATGCTGAACACAGGCCCACATCATGACGTTCCCATCTCCAAACGTCACTGTGGGTACGTTGTTTTTGGGGTGATATGCAGTACCTTTTAACTTCCAAACAGGGTCTGTATTATGGCATCCAAAGAGTTCAGTTTTGGACTGTTTTCCCCCAGTATTTCACAAGCTTGTCTGAATGTTGTTCAGCAAACTTTAAGTACTCTCCAACATGCATTTTCTTAAGCAATAGATACTTGCATGGTGAGTATTCATACAGGCCATGGCAGTTAAGTGCATTGCTTATTGTTTTCTTTGAAACAAGTGTACCTGCTGATGCCAGGTCTTATTGTAGCTCTTCACAAGTGGTCCTTGGCTCTTGAACAACCCTTACTGATAATTCTTTTCACTTCTCTGTCTGAAGTCTTGCAGTGAGCACCTGGTTGTGGTTGCTTTACAGCGAAATTATGTTGTCTCCACTTCTGGATTATGGGCCAGTGGTCACTGGAACCTTCAGGACTTTAGAAATTCTTCTGTAACATGTTTTGCAACAATAATCTTGTAAAGGTCTTGAGAAAGCTCATTGGTTTGATCTATCATGAGCTATTTCTTGTGTAAATCACTGGTAATGAGACAGTTTTTTAGGCCATCAGTTGGGACTGAACCAGCTGACATTATTTGGCCCCATTGTCTTTCTTCTTGTGTTCAGTATTTTTCCCTGTGACATTTCTCATTATTACACATAATTTATGGACAACTAAGGTTTCTTAGTATATGTGCATTGGATGGATCGTTATCGACATCTGATGAGAATTTCATGTCAATAGTACCTTTAGAAGTACATGTGACGTGTTCAACACTCGTTTTACTTATACATGAATGATAGAGAGAGACAGATATATAGATAGAGATGGGTAGATATAGATATACAGCTAATATTTCTGTTTGAATAGTTCTTAGTTGTAACAATGTTTTTCAGCAATAACTTGCATACCATTGGAGAACCTGTTTTTCACTTTAAATACTGCAGACACAATTGACTAATATGCAGGGTCTATGCTTACGAGTTGGTTTTTCATGGGTACAACCCATATACTCAACTCTGCAGCTGAACCCACAAATGCAATTGTTTACAAATGTGACAAATTTAAGAGGAAATAAACAGGCTTTCCAACCAGACATGATGTATTCCCAAGAAACATTTTTAAATCCCAGAAATAATCAACCAAATTTCCTCATTTTTTTGTGCCTGGTTTATATAACAGTATGTTTGCTGTCCCATTACAGACAGCACAGTATTAGAGCTACTGCATGCCAATTAAAACTGCTTAACTGCTGCTGACCTTCTACCGCTCGTCCATTGAGAGCCTGCTAACCTACTGCATCACAGTATGGTACGGCAGCTGCACCAAGGCGGAAAGAGTGAGGCTTCAGAGTGTGATCAAGACAGCACAAAAGATCATCGGCTGCCCTCTCCCCTCCCTGATGGACATTTATTCCTCCCGCTGCCTCAGCAGAGCAGCAAACATTATCAAGGACAGCTCCCACCCTGGTTTCAACATGTTCATCCTGCTTCCCCCAGGGAAGCGCTACAGGTGCATCAGCACAAAAACCCACAGACTCAAAAACAGTTTCTTCCCCAAAGCCATAACCACCCTGAACTCACACATGCACCGATAACACAGCCCACCCCCCA